CGGTCCAGAAGTGTAGGCGATAAGCCTTCCCTTGCCATTTCGTAAGCGATCTCGGTAGTTGAAATCCCACAGTATTCTGGTACCCGGCATAGTAGTACAGNATTGCCTTATGTTTGGTCCACTCCATACCCACATACATACATTCACCTACAAAAGTATCTGGCAAGCAGCTGGCGCTACAAGTGCTACAGTGCCAAGAGTTGGTTAGTGTCAAAGCATTCCTTGAAGGTCCTGTTGGAAAGGGCATTTATGGACGCCCGGATATCTGAAAATATAATTAGAGACACGAATTTTAAACCCCTATCAAGGTTTAGTCTGGCACAGATTGATATTGGTAGTATCTGGGTCTGAATAACCGTTGACCAAGTACCCATTGCAATAGAAAGTTTGGAGCCAGGTCCAAAGACATCCGTTCCTGCTCTGCCCTCCCCTTTGATCCGTTTGTGTACCAGTGTACATATCTGGAAAATTCCTCCAAGCTGCTGCTGCTTGGATAAAAATATGGAGTGGGGTTCAACCTAGGAGCGATTATAAGGCGGAGGAAACGCAATGAGCGGCTTAAAATTAAAACATATGATATACTATTGAAGTGGCCACACAATGAGAGGCATTTCTGAATGGTTGGTCGACGCCGCCGAGGAATAAAATCCGCTCATCACTCAGCCGCTCATTGCGTAGCCTAAGGCCGCGGATTAACACTTTTTTATTGCTTCTGTCAGCGACGGCAGCGCTATCCTTTGGAGTTTGTTCATACATGCAACGGCAGTTTATGTAGCGTTTTTGGTCAGCAGACTATGAAGGCATAAGTTACAATCGGATGGACTGTAGTTCGGTATAGCCATTCTATTAATTTGGAGTTAGGACTCCATGTTCGACCGAAAAGTCTTCCACAGGCCCACGTGGCTCGGGTGGATTTACTAAGAGTTTCGTCTAGATTGCAATTTCAGCTTAGTCTTTTATCCAGAATAATCCTGAGATATTTGACTTCGTCATAGTATTCAAGGACTGTTTTACCAAGGGTAACCGAACCGAGGTCATCATTGGAACACCAGTTTCATCTAAGGAATCAGCAAATCAGGTGCATAGAATATGTCGCGTAAGTTTTGCTGAGTTGTTAAGAAAGTAATAGACTATTCGCAAATATGGTGTCCTCCTTCTTAACAACTTCGTTAAATATGCTATTTTTGTTCGTAAGAATGTCTGATTGTTTGGCTTTTTATTTTGCTTTAATCTCACCAACTTACCATTAATCACTAAGAACTTTGCTGTTGCTTCTCACTTCCTAAACTAATTCCGCCTACTTTATACATATTTAATCTATGTGTAAGGCGGGTTTGTCTAAAACTTTCTCTTCTCTTCTTTCCTTCCTCGCGTTTTTTCGGAATGTTTAACAACTCAGCAGGACTTTGTTAGACTTTCATACTTTGTATATGTATGTACGAGTAGTAAGCTTTGTAGTTTTCGTACGTTGTTCAGTTGTGGCTATTCCCGCCACAATTATGGCATCATTATTATCTAAGGTCTGACAAGAGCAAAAAATGCAAAAAGTAAGAGTTGCACTTCATAAAAAATTCTGGAATATTTTTTTTTTTACCCCGCACTTTTGGCAGCACCCTTCGAATCTCTAGCGGTTTTTATTAAGTAAATTGATTTTTCCCTGCCATGTTATACATACATATGTGTGTAGGTACGTATATAGTCGTGTGTATTGAGTTTACCTACATTAATGTGTAGTACATATGTATCTATGGATATTTACAAAGCAAACTTTGAACTGCTGCCACATAATTTCGAAGATTCGTTTTTGTTTTTGCTTTTGGTTGAAAATTCATATTATTTTCTGGGTCATCTCTTTTATGTTTATTTTTATGCCATAGTTCAATGTGTGCTTTGTAAAAATAGGATAAAGCTGTTTTTTTGGGTGAGGCGCTCTCGATGCTGTATTTATGAACACTCAAAATAGATATACTCCTACTAACGGGTGATTTTTTTGAGGTTAGGATTTTCATGCATTAGTATTTGACAGATCACGTGGGATTTCAGACATGGTGTCAAAGAGAAAGATGCTCAGTATGCTTTGACATTTCATCATGAATAGACTTACTAACGAGCAACGCTTGCAAATCATTGAATTTTATTACCAAAATCAGTGTTCGGTTCGAAATGTGTTTCGCAAACCCAATTGCTGCGAACGGCGACGAATCGACATTTCACGGTCTTCAGCAACACTCTCAGAAACAGACGCAATATTCTCTTCTGTACGCACTGTACGCATTCGTGTGGTTGGTTTAATGTCCAATAAAGTAAACTGAGTGCGAAACTTGGTCACAATCGCATTAATTGTTTGCTCACTTGGTCGATTATGTAGACCATAAATCGGACGTAAAGCGAACCGAACACTGATTTTGGTAATAAAATTCAATGATTTGCAAGCGTTGCTCGTTAGTAAGTCTATTCATGATGAAATGTCAAAGCATACTGAGCATCTTTCTCTTTGACACCATGTCTGAAATCCCACGTGATCTGTCAAATACTAATGCATGAAAATCCTAACCTCAAAAAAATCACCCGTTACAATAACGATGTGGCATAAATACACACATAAATTATTTGCATACATAAGAAGGTGAGTGTCTGTGTGTGTGTACAGTTCGTGTTATAAATATGTATATCTTTTTAGTTTTGAGAATAAACGACAGCATGCCTAGTACGAAGGCAATATTGTGGAAAAATTATGCAAATTTATTTTTTAATATTTGAAAATATTAAAAACCTCGATGACTAGAAATCGCATGGTTTTGTAAGGTGTGCTTTTATTCACTCTGGCTTACCGCTTTAATTTTGTAAACTTTGCCCTAAAGCCGACTTCGCCGAGCTGGCAAACAGAAGAATCAACAACTGGTGTATAATGCTAAATCTGGCCAAGACTTGCCAAAATTACGTCCAGTGCCCTCAATGTTGTTGTTGTAGCAACATTACTATGCCCTGGCTAAATCGGATAGCCTATGAACAGCTGTAATAAAGCTCAACTAACGGTAGGTCCAGGAAACGTGGTGTTTCAAGTTAGGCGAGTTTCTCGAGGCAGCTGCAGATTTTCGTCTACGACAGCTCCTTCCACAGCGGCCGACATGTCAGCGGCTCTGCTGACACTGCATACACAACCAACGCCCAGCCCTAGTGCAATATGTCATCAATGCAGCGCGTTATGCGCTTGCCTCGTCTTCCGAGATCAGCATAGGCATTGTTTCAACTGCCCCTAGCTATCCTAAACGACGAGGGACTGCACTTCTACTAGCGTCAGCTGTGTATGCCACCAACCTCACTATACGATGCTTCTCCGCTTCACTACTCTCCCCGATGGTATGTTGCATTTGATTAGGCGGTGTTGAGGCCGAACTCCAAGATGTGGATGGTTGCGCACTGTCAGATGTCAGGATTGTGTCTATGCCTTTTGACGCGGCCCACGCTGTTGGTGGCGATCAATGATGGACTCCTGATAAAAACTGATTGCGGGGATACCCGAGGGATCCGTTTCGAACCTCTCCTATGCAGCTTAATGTGTCACGAGTATCTGAGCACCGATACACTTCCTCGGAGAGAAATAAACGCAAACGATATCGTCGTAAAAATAGTAGCGCGGCTTATACATACATTGAAAGGACAGCCGGCAAAGAGAGCGACAGTTAAGGTATGGATATCCTCAGGATATTTAGAAGTCGCTGAACAGAAAACAGATGCGGCTTTGATAAACAGGAGAAAGGCTGAATAGACAATTAGACTCAATGTTGCGTACAAAACTAATTATAATAGCAAGCCCGCAATCGAATATTTGGTGGTAACGATTGAAGGATGAAGGATCGTGCTTGGCGGATGATCAGCTCAGTTTTACTCTACTGCGCTCCAATTTGGGCTGAAGGGCAAAAAAAAACTGTGCGATAATACTCATATCTTTGCATTGCCTAAGCGTCCTGAGAACTATTTTGGGATTTCTAGTAATATTTAATTAAACATCCTTCGCACTGATTCCAGTAGATATCCTTGCAAACGATATGCAAATAGTATATATGTGTGTGTCCATGGCAGTGTTAGGCAAATTTTAATTGTAGGGACAGTGAACACTTAATTAATTGGTAGCTGCTACCACTTCAAATAACAATTGGTTAACTGTAATTGTGGAGAATAGCAAATAATTAAATAATTGTTGATTGTGATTTTCTGCAGTTAACAATTAAATAGTTTTTAATTGGTTTGTGCATTTTTTATTAAAAATTAACGATTATAAATGCCTACTATATAGGCCAGGGACGTGGTTATGACATCCATCCACATCCCAGGACTGTGCCGTATTTTTTTATTTAATTTATAAGTAGGTTAATTGTTATCAAAAAAATAACTGAAATTAAATTAAAAACCGTGTGCAAGTAAAATTTTGATTGCAATTGATTTATGAATCTTTTTTGTGACAAAATCAATATCTCCAGTACGAGAATTGACAGAAAATAGCCTCGCTGCCATTTAAAAAGACGTTAAAAATATGTATGTATGTATGTAGATGTATGTAGATGTTTTGAATTTTTGAATTTCTTGAAATATTCAAGCCTAAAAATCCGTTTCACATTTTTCTTTATTTGACTTTTACATGTCTCATTGATTATCTTGAACTTAAGACAGCAAAAGTAATCTCTTTCCTTTTCTGAGTCTTTGTCTTTTTTTGGCTGGATGCAAATAACTCAAAAAAAAGTATTAAATAAAAAAAAAATAATGGGAGATAGCACACTTCAACGAGACTAATATCTCCCATATATGTATGTATTTTAAAAGATATACCACATCTTCAAATCGGTTCGTTAATAAAAAATGTATGAGGGATACTCGTTTTTTTTACTGGCCCGACCCGGCCTAATGTACAAATTCGTTTAAGTATTTTCGCAGTGCATTCAAATATATAAACTTTTGGCGCATTTTTAATTATCAAATTTTACTTTTGCCTTTCTTTCCAGAAAACTTAATATTGACTTGGCAACGAAGTGCTTTTTAAGATTTGCAGCAGCATTAATAAGTGCAATAATAAAACAATTACATATTGAGCAAACCTACAGTTCAACTAAAAACTACGTGATTTCTGGACAGAATTGAAAGGAGGCTACTTTGTGTCAGCAGAATCTACAATTGCCTATCTCCCTCGCCCTATCACAGGCTGTCTGCCGTCAGTGCAACATAGCTGGTATTGTTTTTCTTGTTGTCTCTGTTGCGGTCACTGCAAAAAACTGCCATCAAAGTGTAATGATAATGTTAACAATGTGGAAAATTTTTATTGCATTTACATTGGTGATGGTGACACTGCCCGCGACATTTGTGGCGGCGCGTCTGCATTCGTCCAACAGTCTAGCAATGCATGGCATGGGCGGCGGAGGTGGTGCTGGAGGTAGCGGTGGCATTGGCGGTCTCGTTGGCGGCTCGTTATCGAATAAAGAAGCGCATGGTGAGTTTAAAACAATTTTCCCATTCAATTTTTAATTTTTTTTTTTTATATTTCTGATAACGTGAATACCCACTCACATACACAATACTAATACCAATGTGTGTACATACACATGCATGTGTAGATATGTATTTAATCATACTTAAAAAAAAATATTATTTTTACTCCTTTCATTTCTTTTATGGCGCTCGTCATTTTTTAATGCTTCGAAAAGTTTTTGTTTTTTCATCCTTTTTTCTTACCTTTGTACTTCGAAAGTTTGCCCATCGTTGTGGCGCACACGGCGTCCATTAGCATTAGTAAGTCGATGGCGCGTGACAGTCGGTGGCAGGTGGTAAAGCTGATGAACAGCGTATACCAATGGCGGTAAGTTTGAATGGCCATTAACGGGCTACCTGAATTCCGGTTGACTGCCATTTCTGAATGCAGCAGCGAAAGTCTGCGTCCATATTCGTAAATGCTGGGGATTAAGGGTAACAGCAGATTGCGTGCACTGCTTGCTCTCGGCTCTGTGCCAACCGTATGGCGGTGGTGTGTCATGACTGGCTAAGGTGTCATAGCGCCCCGTTAAGTGCAAATATTCGTGCTGATATTAAATTTAAGTGTTGCTGTGGCGGCGATTTCCACACAAAGTGATTGAAGTAGGTGAATGGGTGAAGTTTCGCGAAATATTAAATTTAAAATTCAAGCAATATTTTTGAATTGCATGCCACTGGGGGAGCTTTGGAAAGGAGACCAATTTCAAAACACATTTTCTCAACTTGCAGAAAATTTTTAATAGATCTTGACTAATTGGTGTCAATTTTTCAACTTACACTCTAAAATTGACAATTCTTCATAACTGTTGTGGAGTGCTGCTTTGCATCGTGACTCACGGTACGGCTCGATATCTAATCTTCAGTCTAGTCGAAAATAGTCTGCATAGCTCACAAAGTTCACTTCGCTTTTCAGATCTTTCCTTATACGTGTGATGATGATCAAGCTGGGAGGGGGAAGGACTAACCACGTTGTTCATAACTGCCTGCCTGCTATATCTTGACTTGAAAGCAGCCAATTCTTTCTCCTTTTTAGCTTTCTCAGGCTACACACAAACTAATTAAAGTACAATATTTTGAATCTCACAAATTTCTTATCGAACAAGAAACAACTTTCGACGTAGCCTTAAAAATTTCCACTTCATTTTCATACCACTGTAGTGACCACTCCTACTTTAGTTTAAGGCGATCGTTGCCGGTTCCTTTTGCACTTCTCTTCTCACCGCTTGTGGTCATATATTACAATTGTACGATTTTTATGTGGCAGTAAATATCTTGTCTGAATTTATATGCAACACAAGTGATGGTGTTCGGATGGGTCTGTGGTACTCGTACTTACAGAATTGTCCACATTAATCAAAGCAAATGCGCGTGCGAGCTATTATTTGCCAAGTCCGTTGCCACTTGCCATTTGCTACTTGATACTTGTGAGGCGAAGAGAATACATATCATGTACAGATGTTCACTAGTCATGTTCACTGTCATGTTATGAGATGATTCTTGAAAATTTCAAGTGTTGAAATATTCATTACTTATAAGTACAAACATTTATGTATGTACATATGTATGCATATACATATGTACTTATGCAGATATGCACTCGAATACGAGCGTACAGGTAAGAGTGCAGACATAGCATGTCTTGCAGCGTAAATATTTTATACATAGCTGCTGGGATTGAGAATGCTTTAAAGTGCAAAAACAGAAGGAAATGACTGTGAGCATGTCATAATGTATGTGCGAGTATGCAAGTTTCCTAGTTACTAGCAGATACGTATCTAAATCCATGTGCATCGGTATTTACCTAGGTATACTATATACATATGAATGTCTTTAGGTACTTACATACATATATCTATGCTAGGCGAATCAAAGCAAGTATCATTAAATCCAATACGCCACCTGAGTGCCCACAAAGTAATGCATACATCTCTTAACTGGGAATATAAGTGTATATTTGAATGTGACATGAGACTATACACTTACAAGTAGTTATGTTTTACGTTTATATATTTAAAGGTGCTTATCTACAAGCTGTCTGGTGCTTAACAAAAGTTCATTCTTGACATTTGCACTTAGCGACGTGTATATATAAACATTTGATAAACGTTTTCATACATGGATATATGTATATTGGGTCGAAAGTATATAAAGCATTATTCGTGAACTGAAGCCCAAAATCTCTCTCTCTCTCCCTCTCTGTCCCAACATTGGTTCATGTAAAAGATTTGTTATATTCTTGAAAACTCCTTAAAAATGTTAAATTTTACATGATGACTGGCGTTTCTTGAAACCTGCGGAATTATGCGCTAAAAGTATTTAAAAATTTATTGAATTCGCCCAAAACTTGTTACTCACGGGTTTTAATGTCGCTTATAAGCATAGGTTATAAGGTCTTATCGAGCGTATTGCGCGAAAGACTGAAGTCCACCGTTTGGACCTTATCAGTGTTGCTTTAGGTTTGGCAAATCCACCATAGATCAGGTATTCACAATACGCCAAATCTTGGAAAAGACCCGCGAGAATAGGATCGACACACACCATCAGTGTCGATTTCAAAGCTGCTTTCGACAGCAAGAAGAGAAGTTGTCTTTATGCCGTGATGTCTGAATTTGGTATCCCCGCGAAACTAATACGGCTGTGTAAAATGACGTTGAGCAATACCACCAGCTCCGTCAGAATAGGGAAGGACCTCTCCGAGCCGTTTGATACCAAACGAGGTTTTAGAGAAGGGACTCCCTTTCGTGTGATTTCTTTAATCTGATATTGGAGAAGAATAATAAGAGCCGCAGAACTGAACCGCTCAGGCACAATACTTTACAAGAGCGTACAATTGCTAGCTTATGCCGACGACATCGATATTATCGGTAAAAACGAGGGCTACGTCTGTTCTGCCTTCTCGGGATTGGATAGAGAAGAAAAGCGAATGGGTCTGGTGGTGAACGAGGACAAAACGAAGTATCTCCTGTCATCACACAAACAGTCAGAGCATACGCGTCTTGGCACCCACGTCACTGTTACCAGTTACAAGTGTGAAAAACTAGACGACTTCGTTTATTTGGGAACCAGTATTAACACCAATAATAATATCAGCCTTGAAATCCAACGCAGAATCACTTTTGCCAACAAGTGCTACTTTGGGCTGAGTAGGCAATTGAGAAGTAAAGTTATCTCTCGTCGTATAAAGATCACATTCTATAAGTCACTCATTATTCCTGAGCTGGTGTATGGCGCGGAGGCATGGACAATGAAAGCATCTGATGAGGCGGCTCTTGGAGTTTTCGAGAGAAAGATTCTGCGAAAGATTTACGGACCTTTACGCGTTGGTGATGGCGAATATCGCAGACGATGGAACGATGAGCTGTATGAGCTTTACAGCGATATAGACATGTGCAGCGAATTAAAATTCAGCGGCTCCGCTGGCTTGGCCATGTCCAGGAAAGACCAGGTGGAGAAGGACTTGGCTTCAATTGGCTTTTCCAATTGGCGTCAGTTAGCACAGAAAAGAAATGACTGGCGTGTTGATTTGGACTCGGCCAAAATCGCTTAGGCGGTTACAGCGTCAATAAAGAACGATAAGAAGATTATGAACATGACAACGAATTTTTAAAATTCAAAATGGCGATCCAATATGGCAGAAATTAAAAAAAAATATTTATTGAATTTGTCATATGGTAGCCGCCGTTTTGAATTTATTATCATATTCGAAATCAATGACCCCAAAAATCTACTATTTCAAGTGAGTCTAGCTATTTTTTAATATGTACTGAATTTCAAAAATCTCCACTCATTGTTTGAAAGTAAAAATTTTTACCGAATTTTCAAGATTATATCCGGTTGGTTTGTATCTGAATCAATTTTGGAGAGAATTTGAATGAATTTTCAAAATTGTTTCCGCCATTTTGAATTTTAAAAATTTATTATCATATTTGTAATCAGTGATTACAAAAACCCCCGAGAACAGCCTGGCAGGGTTAAAAACATTATTTCTGAAGTAGCGTTACTAGATTGAAGTGTGGCCAGAATGCAGAAAAGTTTGTGAATCAATTTGGGAATCGATTCGTCGAAGTTACCAAGAATTTCACGTTGCACACCGGAGAACTTGTACAATAAAAAGGTCAAAATTCAGATTTATCAGCTTTGATAAACTTTTCTTTAAACACTTTATTTCACAATATATATAACCCATCTATCAGTTGGCAGGATTTTTGACTATGTCAAATAGAACATAGCCACTATTGTGATAACCTTTTTTTCTGCGCTTCCAATAGCAGCATTTATTTCGTTTGTTATTATTACATACCCGGCGCAAGTATTAAATATATGGTTTTCACCTTTCCGAAAGCTAACGCTACATGGTAAGCCAGGGTGTATCAGTTTTGAGTAAATTAGCGACTTTAAATTTCGAAGCATTGAAGTTTCAAGCATTTCTGAAATTTACCGTTATATCAAAAGCGGCCTCAATTTTAGTCCGATTTCAACAATTCTCAACATTTTGCTTTTATGTGGCAAGCAAAATAACCATACCAGTTTGGTACAAATTGGTATAACGGTTACCGAGATACATATATGTGATCATAAGTGGGCGGAGCCACGCCCATTTTCCGAAATTTTATCACAAACGTATTTCTTGGTAAAGAATTGTTGCAACCATCAATTTTGAATAAATTTGCTTTAATATTTACTGATTTATCGAAGATTTCGTATTTCTCCAATATCCGTTATATGGGCGTGGTTATTGTCGGTTGCCAGACGTACTGATTTTATCAGTACAGTACATCTCTTGTACTGATTTTATTCATTTCTTCAATCAGTACGCTAATGTCCTGATTTTTCAAAATTTGTACTGATTTGTACTGAATTTTCAATTCAAATAAAATACTTTAGGATTTTCTTAACGTTTTTACATAATGTTGGAACTTCCTTAAACTGTACTGTTAAAAGTAAGAAGAAAATAATTTAATT